AGAACAGAAGACAATTGAAAGACATTTGGTATATATTACTGACTAATCCACAATGTCCCACATTTTACCAACTCAAACCACAACAGGACCACAGCCTGATTTCAATGAACCTTGTCATCATTCCACTGGCTCAGTCCCAGCAAAACCTTCTCTCCAAACCTGGCTCCCCAATCCTTGAGGAGAGGGCTCCCATTACTATCTTTGTGTTATCTTGGGGCTTGAATGTGCTCTTCCGTTGTTCATCCTCACAATCCCCTGAAGGAACCATCTGTTTATAAAACTATCTCCACCCCAGGACAGAGAGCTCCATAAGGGAGCCAGCGATCCCAACATGATAGAACTCTAGGAACATACGTTCAATGAATGAATGAGCAGGTTACTGGGGCTGAGAATGGTGAAATAGATCATTCCCCCAACAGGGGCTCATCATCTGCCATCCCTACCTTCTTCGTTCAACAGGGCCTGGTCCTTCAAGGACATGCTAACGTCTGGCTGTCCAAAAAGCCTATCTAGTCCCGTATCTGGCTGGCCTCTCACTGTCCTCCTGCCTCACCTGGTGATAGCAGACGAGCCAGCAGGTGAGTCAAGAGCCTGGTGTGGTGCTGAGGAAGTGACATTTGCACACAGCAAACCAGATGTCCTGGCCAGGAAAAGGACGCCAGAATCCTGGTCTCATTAATACCAAGATTTAACCACATGTAGCACCCTGAAGCCATAAGTCAGAGAGACCAAGAACCCAGTGCTACTGCTTAAAGCAAAAACCCTTCCTAGCATCCTCCCACCTGCTTTACTCCCACCATGGCTTCCCAATTCCTCTAATTCTTCACTGGAAGCTGACGACTCCCTACAGGGCACAAGGATTGACAACCAAATGCCTACAGAGGTCAAGAAAAGACGTAAGCAGGGCAGCTCAAAGGAAACCCATGGTACTCTCTGTTTATCTGATACTTTCCAGGACACAAGTACATGAAATCTTTCCTTTACTTAAATTCCCCGTAAGGTATGCATGATGATAAATGGCAACTGATATATGCCAGAATTAGAGAAAATTTCCCATTCCACAGCAGGCTGACACTTCTTGAGCAAGGAGCTGCTGGACAGAACAACCCTGGGTCTCAGGTTGCCGGCCTCTCTCACTTTCCCAAAAAAGCAGAAAAATCATGATTTACATGAAGTAGCCCTTACAAGTGTTGGCAACTAACTTTAAAAAACTGATTCACATTTCCAGAGGTTAAAGGAGTTATCTACAATCATCGAGTTATCTCTTCATTAGTTTGTTAACTGTTGCCCACTAAGTGTAAACTCCGTGAAAGCAGATTTGCCTGGCTCCACTCTCTCCAACACCTGAAGAATCTGGAACACAGTAGCAGATGCTCAAACATTTACTTAAGGGGCGCCTAGGTGGCTCAGTAGGTTAAACCCTCTGCCTTCAGCTCAGGTCATGATCTCTGGGTCCTGGGATTGAGCCCTGCATTGGGCTCTCTGCTCAGCGGAAAGCCTGCTTCCCCCTCTCTCTCTGCCTGCCTCTCTGCCTACTTGTGATCTCTGTCAAATAAATAAATAAAATCTTTAAAAAAAAAAACATTTACTTAATCAACAAATAAGTCAGAAATAAGCAAAAGCAGAAAATAGTTAATAGCAGAATATTTAAAATCACATATATCCCAGGAAATGTTTATTTGGTTCCCGAAACAGTATCATTCAACAGACCCAAAGCCAGAGTGACCCTTTCAAAACATGAGATCACACCCCTTCTTCGCTCCAAAACTTCTCATGGCTTTCCCGCACTCAATCAGCACGAACTTCTCCCCAGAACCTCCAAGATCCTATATGATCTGGCTCCTGTTATTTCTTTGTTGCACTCACTCTGACCACCCAAACTCAACTCCTTGTTCTTTCTTCAACATGCAAACATGCTCCCAGCTTCGCACGTGCTGCTTCCCCTTACTGCAACACTTTTCTTCCACAAATGACTCACTCCCTCACCTCCCACAACGTTTTTTTCAAGCATCACCTCTGAGATTCACCTTATTTAAAACTGACCAAGACTCCCTATTCCCCTTCTCTACTTTTCTCCAGGGTACCCTCTGCCTTACTAAACAATATACTTATCAGTTATGTTTATTTATGACCACACGGGCAAAGCCTTTCAAAATCTGTTTTGTTTACTGATGCAGCCCCCGGACAAAGAACTGTGCCTAGTACATAGCAGGCACTAAAAACATATTTCCAAAATGATGGCGCACACCCCAATATAAAAGCTAACAATGAGTGCTTGCTATAGGCCAGGTCCTTCATACACATCACCTGTTATTTCACTGTACCTGGGGCATCCCTGCTCCCCCCCACCCCGCACCTATCCCTCTGCCTGACTTAGGCTTGCCTACTTCTCTATCACTACCAACAACCTGGAAACTCCCAAAGGCCGGAGCTCGTTCTGATCTCCTCTGAGCTCCCACAGGGGCCTTTCTGCCCTGGTCCTGTCCCAGACGCGATGCCTCCCCACCATGTCCCAGCCACACACCTCGGCCTCCTCGCCGTCACTGCTGCGCTCGCTATCCTCCTCCTCGGAGAAGTTGCTGTCCTCGCTGTCCGACATCTTCTGTTCTTGCAGGAAAAGACGGCGGCCTCAGTGCGTCCCCCGGACAGGAGCCCCACCCTAGCCTCAGTTTCCCCGCCAGTTCCCGGGAAGAAGAAAAATCCCTTAGCGCACTTCCGGCAGCCTTGTTCTGGCAACCGTGAGACCAAAAGACTACCCTCTAAGCCACCTTCCGCGTCCCCGAGTCCGGGCTCTAAGCCTCCCTGTTGCCCCGGCGAACCCCAGTCCTGCCACCTCAGCGTCCGACCCACCCCTCACCGCTCCGTTTCCACCTCAGTCTTCGGTACCAGCAGCTGTTCACACGACGCCAGGCCGGGACTGACGTGCCCTCTCGCGAGAACCTACTCGTTGGCCTCGCCTAACGCGAGATTTCCGGGGCTAATCTCCGGCGACGCACTTCCAGGACGCCATCTTGAATGTGGCAGATCTGTCTTAACGTAGAGCATGGAGTCGACATCTCGGGAAGGTCAAAGAGGGGTAGAGTTACTTCCCTTCCCCGACCGGCTTTTCCAGCTACAGGAGTTCGTGCTTGAATTTACTAATAAGGTGTGCCAAGCCGTGAGGAGTCAGGGAATGACCAAATAATAATGAGTTAGCAAAGACATCAGACTTTATTTCCTAGACCCTCTAAAACATTCCTAGGAGGTAAGTATCCCCATTTTGCTGACAAGGAAACTGAAGCTCAGAAAAAATTAACTGCTCAGTGGCCGACTAAGGCTCCTCCCCAAGTTTGGGTAATCCTGAAAACCCTTGTTTTCCCTTACAGATCCCTAAGTTTAAGTCCATGTGAATTTACATATTAGTAATTATTTGTCTGACGGTGGCAAAGAGGACCGGGCATGAGAGAGAGCGGTAAGAAAAATTAATCAGATGAAGGGGGAAACAGATCAGAAACCTTTAAAAACACATTGCTAAAATTTCTTGCATAAGCATTGAGACACCTGGATTCAATTTACAGAAATTTAATATGCACCTAGTTATAGGGTAGTATAGTGTGGTTGGCCCACCAGCTGGCTCCAGGACAGCTACCGGGGAATGAGTATACCACACGTGCATGTCTATAGGAGCACACACTCCCTGATCCAACAACCCCAGACTGAAACCAAGGCGGGGGTGGGGAGGAAATCCTGGTTGCTCTATAACAATGTTTCCCCTTCTTTTTTTTTTTTTTTATATATTTATTTATTTGACAGAGAGATCACAAGTAGACAGGCAGGCAGAGAGAGAGATGGGGAAGCAGGCTCCCCGCTAAGCAGAGAGCCCGATGTGGGGCTCGACCCCAGGACCTGAGATCATGACCTGAGCCAAAGGCAGAGGCTTAACCCACTGAGCCACCCAGGTGCCCCAATGTTTCCCCTTCTTAAAGGAAGCTTGGTTCCTTTAAACAGCAGCTCTTCAAAACAGGATTCCACATACAAAATGCCTATTGACGTCGCCGCAGGAATGAGAGGGAACAGTAATTTCCCTGCCACAGGAAGTTTGGTGTGTCCGTGGTTCCCAACGCTCAACCCCAGCATTACAGAAGAAGATGCAAGAAGAGAGTGATGCACAGTAGCTGCAAAGTGGAAACAACCCGATAGCCATCATAAAGACAGTGGATAAACAAATTGCGGTGCATCTATACAATGGGATAGTAATAACCTGTTGATAAGCACATGAATGAATCTCAAAAACTTCATGCTGAATGAAAGAAGCCAAACACTAGCAATGGATATATGTACCTACTACAATTCCCTTCATATGAAACTCTAGAGAAAGCAAAACTGATCTCTACACTCAGCAGATTAGTGGGTGTCTACGACTGGAGGTGAAGACTGACAGGGAAGGGGCATGAGGGACGCTCTGGGGTGATGGAAATGTGGCTGTGTGTATACCTTTGTCAGAACTCATTGAAATGTACACTTAAAATGTATGCTATCTATCTGTAAATTACACCTCAATGAAGTTGATTTTAAATCTATGGTGTTCAGAATCTGCCAGAGACCAATTATCAAAATCTCTGGGTTGGGGCCTAACCATCAGTATTACTTCAAAGCTCTCCAGGTGGTAATTATTTGCAGTCAGAGACTTGAGGTACAAGACTCCCCTTGTCCTCCAGGGGTGGGATTAGGTTAGAAGACACCTATGCCATGCTGTGTCCCTTCCTCATAGAGGAGAGAGGAGGGAGTATCTGAGAGGGAGAACAGGACCAGATGGGGGCCCCCCACACACTAGGAGACCAGAGATTTCAGGCTTCAGATCTTATCTTCCTCCTTCTCTCCTCTTCCCCTTGGCTCCTTGGACTGCACATGAAGTCCTCTGGCCTAGAAGGAGAAGGCTTAGGACTGGAAGCTGGGGCTAGAGACCACGTCCTCTCCCCCTCTCTCCAACAAGCCTCTCCAGCAGCAGTACCAGGCAGTCTGTGTCCTGCCAGACTCATGGTGAGGGCCGGTGCTGAGCACATGCCCCCTGTAATAACTCCAAGAGCTTGGCCAGAAAGAGAGGGACAGGTCTCTGGGGATGTCCTTCGCAGGGTGGACAAGGGCCCTGGCCAGTCACCCACAGCCGGGACCCCAGTGCATCCAGCAGACGCTGTAGCCGGAACACGGCAATCCCCAGGGATGGGCCCTCTTCGAACTGGATCACAGACAGCTCCAGCCGGAAGCACCCTAGAGTCTCAGCAGGACACACCTGTGGGGACAGAGTGACTTGGTGTCTCTGGGCAAGGGTCTGATCCCAAATCCCCAGTTCTGAACTATGGCCTGGAATAATCAACCTGCTTCATCTCTTTGGCCCTCAGTTTTCTCGTTTGTAAAAGAGAACTCTGAAAAATTCCTAACTTCAGGGCTGATGCCCGCCTATACCTAGGAAATGACACTTCTTTCTTAAAACACTTGGAAGTGCTGATTTTGTTAGAACAAGATACATTACCTCTCTCTACCAGAAATTGACGAGCACATCCAGGGTGTGAATACTGCTCTTGTGGACGCGCGACCCTTGTGCAGTGTGCATTCTGCACATCCCTATATGGTGTCCCTAATAAATAAGCTAATATACTTAGAGCATTTAGACCAGTACCTGGCAGAAGCATCACTATCTAAATGTAGCTGTCATCCTCACCACCATCACCATTGTTTATTGCTATGTGCCAGTCACTGTTCTAGTAGGTGCTGGGGACAGCATGGGTGCCTGGGTGGCTGTCAGGCATCCAACTCTTGGTTTTGGCTCAGAGTCATGGGATAGAGCCCTGCGTCGGGACTCCCCACTCAGTGAGCAATCTGCTTGGGATACTCTCCCCACTGCTCAAGAGCATGCGTGCATTCTCTCTCTCTCTCTCTCTCTCTCTCTCCATTTCAAATAAATAAATCTTAAAAAAATAGGTGTTGGAGACAGCAGTGAACAAAACGTATCTGTGAAGGCCGGGAGTTGGGTCAGAGCAGCTGGACAGCCAGAACACCATACCCCTGCCTCCTGCCCCCAACATGTGTTCTGAACCTAGTGGATTCTCCCTAAACTTCCAAGGTCCAGTGAGAAGCTAATGAAATACTCACCGAGAGGTCATCTGGTGTGTAGAGAGTGCCATCATTTTTGTTTCCCTATAATTTGGGGTAGGGAGAAGAATCAGATCTTGGAGTGGGGAGCCTGACCCTTCCTCAAGCATGCCCCCCACCCCCTCCCTGCCTGTCTCCAGTCTTTCCCCTCCCTCCTCCTCACCAGCATCTTCATGATGGCAACAAGGAAGTAGAAAGGCTCCCGAGGACAGAGGGGTGATCCTAGGCCTCCCAAGGGTCGTACCAGCAGGAGGATGGTCCAGAGCGGCCACATGGGCACCCTGCCCACCGCCCAGGCTTTCTCTGGTCCCAGCCCAGCATCCTGGAAGCAAGAAGTACAGAGAGACAGAGCTAGTTAGAAGACTAAAGTCCCAGACCTTTTCCTGCCCAGCTCCACTCAACCCAGATACTCAGGGAATGTTCTCCAACAGCCCCGCGGGAAGATGGTCATCCTACAGCAGGGCCGGTCCAGGTCAGAGGGGTCCCTGACGCCTCTCCCCCAACCCCCACAGGAAGATATGAGACTCAGCAAAGGTGGGAGTATCAGCCCAGAGAGACTGGAGGATTTGGGGAAGTCCCATCCCAACCCCCTCCCCAACAGGTCCATAAGGCAATACCGAGTGTGTGAGTGCTTGAATCCCGCCGCCTGTCTTCTCATTGGAAAACACCCCTGCTAAGCTCTATCTGTGTTTGCAGGTGCATTTTGGGGGTCTTTGCTCTCCTTTCTACTTCTAATTCTGTATCAAGTATTCCATATTTCAAATATCTTGGAATCTCCATGCTTCCATGTACCTGTCCGTCTTTCTCTGAGGGCTGGCCTCTCTGCCTCCGAATCGCCGTCACTTGTGTTTTCTGGGTCATTCTGTGATTGACCCTATGTCTATCTTCTTTCTCCTCTTCTCCATTGGCCCCTTCTTTGTCTTTTTCCTTCATGTGTGCCTGTCTCTCTTGTGCTGTGTATCTGTCTGTATGCCCCCCCCCAAGTCAGCCTCTGGGGGCCCCCTCCCTCCACTTCTCCCCTCTCTTACCCTTTTGGAGCTAGAATCTGGGCTGGAGGATTCTCCCTCCCGCCACAGACCCGCCCACCAACCTCCCCCCCATCTCCACCTTGCAGGCACAAGGTGAGTCACCACAGCCCTTTCAACTTTGGACCTCTGACTCAGGGCTGCCAGAGAAGCTGAAGAAACTGTGGGCTCTCTGCAGGTCTGAGAGAGAAACCTTTTGGCTGGGACCCTAAGGAGTATCCTGAGTGTAGGGGAGCAAAGGGGCAACTCAATCCTGAGGTTCCTCAGATGGGATAGGGGGGATGCTGGGGATGGAGAATTCTGTGGGGGAGAAGCCTGGAGAGTAGGATGATTTGCGGGGGGAGGGGATGAAGAGATGATTTGAAAGACCCTGGAGAAAGAGGGATTCTAGGGTAGGGACCCTCAAGGGGGGCATTCTGGAGGGTGGGATTCTAAGGAGTGGAAAATCGAGGGGAAGCCAGCTGCTGGCAAGAGGAGACTCTGAAGGGAAAAGAATTCTTAGGAAATGTAGATTTTGAAGGAGGGGGCTCTGAAAGCGAGAGAGATTTTGTGAAAAGGGGATTCTAACGGGGCTGTTCTGGGAAAGGGGGATTGCGGGCAGAAGTAGATTCTGGGGCTCTTGAATGGAGAAAGATTCAGGGAAAGAGGAAGTCTGGGTGAGGGCTCTGAAGAGTGGGATTCTGGGAGGAGAAGACTTTAAAAGGAAGGAAATTCTGGTGAAAGGTGGATTCTGAGGGGCGCTAAAAGGAAAGATTCTGGGAGAGGATTCTCGGAGGAGTTGGTTCGGAATCCGGAATTTGTAAATCCTGACTTCCTGCTGTGGGTTCTGACGGAGAAGGATTTGGGGAGAAGGGTGTCCAGAGGGTAGGATGGAGTTCACAGGAAAGTATGGTAACCAGTGCTAGGGGGTAAAAAGAGCCTCTTTAGACGACGGTAAGAATCGATTTTAGGGCGGAGGGAGATTATCAAAGACTGAAATGCAAAAGAACCAACGATGGCCAGCGAGGACCGAGAATGTGAAGAACAACCCGCCCTCCCCCTTCATCCGCGATTGCACGCCGCACACGTCAGGTCCCGCCTCCTCCGCTCCTGGGACCCACCTTGTCGCCACTATTCCGAAGTCCCGCCCTCTGGCCGCAATATGAGCCGTAAAGCGCTCTCCCGTCGCGACACTGCACCCAGAGCGCCTGCGCAGACCCTGAAAAGCGGCCAGGGAGGCCCCGCATTTTCCTTTTCCGGTTGCAGCGCCTCGCGGTGAGGACCTCTGGCCCACGTTCCAGCCATGCCGTCCAAGGGTCCTTTGCAGTCCGTGCAGGTCTTCGGACGCAAGGTAGGCCGGGTGCCTGATAAGAGGGGCGGAGGGAGGCCGGAGTTGGCTGGGGCCTACGGGTAGGTTCTGGGGTCGACATAGAAGCTGGGGACAGAAGCTCACGTGGCTCCGCTCTTTCTCCCTCGCTTTCCGCAGAAGACGGCTACAGCCGTGGCGCACTGCAAACGGGGCAACGGCCTCATCAAGGTGAATGGGCGGCCCCTGGAGATGATCGAACCCCGCACGCTACAATACAAGGTGCTGGCATTGAGGGTGGGCTTTCTGGTTGAGTGGAGAGCTCTGGAGAGAGATGTTTAAATAAATGGGTTCCTGGAAATCCTTGGTCTTGGAAGCTGAGGGATTTGGTATCAACAATGGGATGTTTAGAAGCTGAGTTGGGGACAGAAAAAGGGTCATTTGCGGGGGCGCCTGGGGGGCTCAGTCGTTAAGTGTCTGCCTTCAGCTCAGGTCATGATCCTAGGCTCCTGAGATCGAGTCCCGCATCGGGCTGTCTGCTCGGCGGGAAGCCTGCTTCTCCCTCTCCCACTCCCCCTGCTTGTGTTCCCTCTCTCGCTGTGTTTCTCTCTGTCAAATATAGTCTTTAAAAAGGAAAAAGAGGGGCATTTGGAGATGGAGTTGGATTTTCAGGGGGTTCAGATATTGTGGTTAAAGTGGACAGAGTGAAAACTTGTAGATTAAAAGGGTGACTTCAAAAATGGGACATTTGGGGTGCCTGGGTGGCTCAGTGGGTTAAGCCTCTGCCTTTGGCTCAGGACATGATCTCGAGGTCCTGGGATGGAGCCCCGTGTCCTGGCTCTCTGCTCAGCAGGGAGCCTGCTTCCCCCTCTTTCTGCCTGACTCTGCCTACTTTTGATCTCTGTCAAATAAATAAATAAAATCTTTAAAAGAAAAAAAAAAACTGGGACATTTGGAAGCCCACTCATTTGGGGACTGCAGGGTAAGGGGAGTTTGGCCTGGTTTCTTAGAGTATAGTAAATTAATGGCAGATGTGTGTCGTGTTTACAATCTAACGTCTCTTTTTCTTTGTTAGAGCATATACTCTCTGAGGACAGAAATCAATTGCTTTCTTAAGACATTTTGTTTAAAAGTAGGGATTGGTTGTTGTAGGTGCTTAATAGTTAAATATTGGAAGAACAGGAGGAGAATTTGGGTTTGTTGTTCTTTGCTGTGAAAGGGGTTCCTCCCCTGCCTGTTTTGGCCTTAGTTTCTTGAGCTCAGAATGGAAAGAGCAGAATCTGTTTTTTTGCCTTTTTTAACCTGTGGTGTTACTTGAGTCAAGTAACATTTTTTCTCAGGTTCGTTTACTTATTTATTTTTAAAGGTTTTGTTTATTTATTTGACAGGCAGAGATCACAAGTAGGCAGAGAGAGAGGGGAGGAAGCAGGCTCCCTGCTGAGCAGAGAGCCCAATGTGGGGCTCGATCCCAGGACCTGGGATCACGACCTGAGCCGAAGACAGAGGCTTTAACCCACTGAACCACCCAGGTGCCCCTCAGGTTCATTTATAAAAGGGATAATTTCTACCTCAAAGGACTGTTGTGAGGATAGAGTAGTTTGTCAATATAAGCTTCTTGGTGTGTGTGAGAACTTATTTTTTCAGAGTGTGTTGCTTTTACTTAATTAGTTCCGATTATTTTTTTATTTTACTGACGTTGAAATGCAATGTTAGTTTCTGGTGTGCAAGGTAGTAATAAAAGTCCGTGTCATTTCTAACTCTGAAAAATAACATTTGTGTTGCAGGTTTAGTTAGAATTTAATAGGATGGTGTCTGAGATCCCTTTGTATTATGGTTTGCTCTTAACAACTGCTGGTTATACAAAGGTTTTGTTTGTGTGGTCTGTGTTGAGTGCTGGGGACACAGCAGTGATCAGGTAGCCCCAGGCCCTGCCCTCACAGAGCTCCTAGTCCAGTGGAGGAGGCAGACTGGACTCAGTACTAGACCCTGCTCCAGCATAGTCTGGGTTGAGATTGGGGAGCCCAGAGAGGGGTTCTGCCTGGGTAGGATTTGGATAGGCTTGGGGAAGATGAAGGTGGGGATCTGTGAGCTGAGACCTAAAGCCGGTAAAACAAAAACATCCAGGCACCTACAAAAGATCTAGAGCTGGCAAGGGGAGAGTGTGGCACAGGTTGTTATAGTACTGTTGTAATTTGGAGGGATGCCAGAGGGCTGGGCGGAGTGCTCAAGGGGGGAAATCCAGAAAAAGCACTGGACGGGGCTTTTCATGGTTTCTGGCAGCCTTGGTGGCTGGAGAGGTTGGCCTTGTTGAACTAAAGTGCCAGCACTCTTAAGAACCAGTGCTAGAGATGGGGATTCTGAGGCCCCAGAGGGACACAGATGGGAGGGCCCAGCTCAGGTTGCCTTCAGCAGTCTCTCCTCAGGCTTCAGATCCTCCCTGCTCCCCTTCCTATGCAGAGGGGTCTGCAGTGACAGCCTCTTCCTCATCCACAAGTGCTCTTGTATCAGCCGTGGCAGAAGTTACTTGGAGAAAGAGGAGTTGGGTGCTCAGTGAGGTGGCATTCAGCTGTCCTGATTGTCATCTAAAATCCTGTCGTGTCCCTCGCTCCTCTAGCTGCTGGAACCTGTTCTGCTTCTAGGCAAGGAGCGGTTTGCTGGGGTGGACATCCGAGTCCGAGTGAAGGGTGGTGGTCACGTGGCCCAGATTTACGGTGAGTTCCAGGAACTGCGGGCAGGGTGGTGGGGAGGTGGCTCTGAGAGCAAGGCCGTATTCTTGGGCCTTCGCAAAGCTGACAGCACTCTCTCGCGCATGTATTTCCCTCACAGCAATCCGCCAATCCATCTCCAAAGCCCTGGTGGCCTATTACCAGAAATGTGAGTGAGCATTGCTCCTTCCCGACGGGTGGGTTGGTGGCAGGTAGGGGACCAGCACCCCCCCAGCCCAATCTTTAGCCCCAGAGACTTGGAGGGCAT